CATTTCCTGCAACCCGAAACACTGGGGGAAGACAGGGCTGGGGTCGGAAGGGTGAAGGTGTGGTTTCGATGTGCCTTTTAGATGCACCTGGGAGGGGTGTCCAAGAGCATATTCTAGTCGGGAACTCAAGGAAAGGAGGTCTAACAGGTTTTGTTTGTTTGGATTTTTCCTCCCTCCCTTTTTACACAGAGTGCGATGTGGCTACAATGGTGTGTTTTAAGACAAATAGGAATTAGGTACATAAGATAGAAAGAGGCAGTACAGCACCATGGGTGTAGCATCAGGCTGAGGGTCAGCATCCCTCTGAGTGCTGACCTGAAGCTCAAATTCTGCAAATCTTGGTTTTCACACATAAACTAAAGGGATGGGAGCAGATAAAACCTCTTGAAGTTTGGAAGCACAGCAATTGCACCTTCACCTGAAACTATCTTTTTACCTTTTATTGCAGTTGTCATCATCTTTAGAAATGAGGTCTATTTCGTAACAATGTGGCTTATTGTTGTCCTTCTCCTGAGACTAAAAGTTGCATACGGTTGAGGAAAAGATCCAAAATTTTATAATCATGAAAACAGAAGGAGGTTGTAGATGAGATAAGATTGGCCATGGCAGGGGCCGGGGGTGGGTAGGACTGGGGGACAGGCACCCTGAGTACATTATAGGATTCTGTCTACTTCTCAGTGTGGGAGGTTTTCCATTCTAGAAAAAGGGGGATGTGAGGTCAAGAAGCACTGTCATACAGCATTTCTAGGTTTTCAGGTCCCAGTTTTCAGTAAAAATAGGATTTCAGCATCCCATTTACTGATTGATACTGGAACCATACGTTGGACCCATAGTGTTGGCTACATGTCAGAAATCCTTCACATTTTCGTCGAGGTTCATCACTTCCCCTCTAAAACCACCTTCCATAAAGGTCATCTCACATCCAATCGACAAATATTTCTTGAGCATCTACTATGTACCAGGAACTGTGCTAAGAATTTGAGGTACATCAGTGGAGAAAACAAAGGCCCATTCCTGCACGAAGCTTTTGCTCAAGTGGGCTGAACTATAAACATTAACAAAATAGCCACACGATAATAAATAGATATTGTATACTCTGTTAGAAATTGATAAGTGCAATGGAAACGATATAACAAGGCAAGGGGACAGGGGGTGGGTTGAGTTGCAATTCCAAAGAAAGTAATCAGGATGAGCCTCATTAAGAAGGGGATATATGGCCAAAGACGTGAAGGAAGCAAAGGAATGGGCCATGAGACTGTCTAAGGAAAGGGCGAGCCTGGCAGAGGGGACAGCCCGTGCAAAGGCCCTGAGGAAGATGGAGGGTGCCTGGATGTTCCAGGAAGAGCAAGGAAGCTTGTGCTGCTGGAATAGTATCTCCTTTCAGGGAGGCCAGAGTGAGTGAGGGGAGGGTAGGAAGGGATGAGGTTAGAGAATAACAGAGGCAGACAATGATATTAAAGATGTGGCTTTTCTCAGAGATGGGACATCACTGGAGGGTGTGGAGCAGAGATGTAAGATGCTCTGGTCCATATTTTTAAAGGAGTAGTCTGGATGCTGCCTAGGAAACAGACCAAGGGGATGCAGCAATGGAGGTGGGGAGACGAGGTAGAAGCTACCGCCGGAACACAGGTGCGAGGTGACGGGGCCTTGGACAGGGTGGCAATAGCACAGTGAGGGGCAGTGATTGGCTTCTGGATATAAAATGATGGTCTCTCTCCTGACATACCGGCTGAGAGAGAGCGGAGTCACAGATGGCTCCGAAGTGTTTGACTTGAGCCACCAAAGGATGGAAGGGCCATTACCTGAGGTAGTGAAGACTGCAGGTGGTGTGGGTTAGGAGTGGAGGGAGGGGTTCATCCCGACTTCAGTCTCGGATTTGCTCACTATGGGATGTTAAGCAGGCAGTGGGACATGTGAGACTGAAAAGTGAGAGAGGATTCCGGGCTGGAGATAAACGGGCGTCCTCAACACGAAAGAGGATATTTTAAACCGTGGGGCTGGGTGAGACCACCAGAGTACAACCAGGCAAGAAAGGAGGCCAACGCAGAGCGAGGAGATGGAACAAGCAAAGAAGGGACCGCGAGTAGGAGAACCCAAAGCATCCAGCGTCCTGGAAGCGGGCAAGACCTGCCGTGCAGGCAGCACGATGAGGACAGAGACCAGACCTTGGATCCTGCATCTCGGGTCATCAATGACGTTGGAAAGAACCATCTGGTGGAGTCAGGCATCAGAGTCTGATTAGAGGGGATTTCAGATAGAAAAGGAGACAAATATAGAAAACGCTCTTGTGGGGCTGAACAGCAAAGGGAGAGGTGGGGCAGTGAAGGGAAAGGGTTTTATGACGGTTCGGAAGATGGGAAATGACAGCACGTCTGGGCATGTGTGGGCTGAGCCGGCAGAGGGGAGACGGATGGCGAGAGTGAAAGTGAGGCCTGGGCAGGGGTCTTGCTCTTGAAGAGGTAAGAAGAGCTGGGAATCAAGCCCAAAAGTGGAGAGGCTGGCTCTGTGGGAGCCCAGCAGAGAGGAGGATTCGGGGTTCAGATCCTGGAGGGTGGGCGTGCGTGATGCGGAGAGACTGATGACGGGCCAGATGTGCAACCTGAGCAGCCAAGGCAGTGGGCACCTGCATCCCTCTGCACACTGACCACATCCCTGGGGCCCGCTGACCGCCTAGGGGCTGCAGCACTGAGTGTAACCAGCACACATGGTGCCCCCAAGAGCTTGGGTTCACATTCTATTTTTGCTGCTTTTCAGCTATATAAGCTTGAACTAGCTGTTCATGCTCTCTCTCTGCCTCGGTTTCCTCATCTGTAAAGCAAGGAAATGGGTAGTCACCTCCCCACTGGAGTGGTTGTGCGCATGTAGGGAGGTAATATTTTAAAGCCCTTATCTCAGTGCCTAGCAAATAGCCTTTTCCATCAGCATCATTCGTCCCTGGATGCCTGCGAGTGAAGCTACTGCATCACCAGCCGGGCTCCTCTCCAATCCCATTATGAAACTCGCTTTGGGTGTTATTGGAAAAGCATCGCTTCGCCTCCTATTTCACAGTTTCTTACTCTCACCCAGGCAAGACGGCATCACGGAATACAGCTCTGGCTGGAACCTGCATTCCACAACAAACAAGCTGTGAGGTCTCAGGCAAAGTCTTGGGCAAGCCTCTGGGTCTCTTCGAGCTTTATTTTCATCCTACGTAAAGGCAGGACCGAATGAGCTGGATGGTCCCTCCAAGGTCTACAGTCACGAAACATTTTTTTTCCCTCGAGAAGAAAAGGTCTTGACTACATAAAGAAATAGAGTCAGCGGGGGGTGCAGGGGGTCGAATGTGTTTTGCAGAAAGTCCTTTAAGAACACAGAGAGGCTCTCGGTGGAGCTGAGCCTGTGCTCACGGACTCCTACAGCCGAGGGCTTCGGGTGGATGCTGAGAAGACCAGATCCTGAGTCAGCCACACTCACCCACCCAGCCCGGTGGCCACATGGACACGCACACCAGACAAGGGCTGGTTCTGTGATTCTAAGCACAGAACCAGCCCTACTGCCAGACAAACTCCTTCGCCCTCAAAGCCCACCGTTGAGAGGCAGCCCATCCTACAGGACCAAGGGACCCACCCTGGCAAAATCTGGGCTTCAAAAAACAAGTTCAGTCCCTGATTTCCCACCTGAGGAGGTGGCTTCTCTGAACATGACCCAGCACGTTCAGAGCAGCCAGGATAAGAAAACACATCTGCCAAGAAGCAGCTCCATCCAGATACGAGAAACGCTGTGCAAAATAAGATGCCAGTTTGCAATTTAACGTGGCCATGACCATTTTGCAGCGAACATCTCTTTCTGAGTTCAGATAAGAGGTTCGCCCAGCTTTTGTAAGTTTCACAGCCACGTGAGGTCTCGGCTTTGCAGGCTGCTAACATCCAGTTCCGTAAAGTAGAAAGTAAGAACCGCTCATCTTGATGATCGGGAGCAAAATAGCTTTGCGTGTCATGTGACAGTGACTGAGCAGGCAAAGACCCTGGCAAAAAAAAAAAAAAGTGCTTCATTGCCACCCAACCCTGCAGAACAGGCTCTTCCAAACCACCAGAAGAATATTGAAGGTTTAACTCCACACCACAAAACTCAGCTGTTCCTTGGCCATCTGAGAAGTTCAAAGAAGCTGAGCTAGGATCAGATTTAGGAAACGGACCCAGGAAGATGCTCCCTTGACCAGGACTCAGTTCAGTGTTCAGAGTCCCAGGGGGTTCTTAAGAGTGTCTTGAGTTAAATCCACCCAAATTCCCAGAAAAGCTCCCAGCATCCTTCACAGACGAAGCCTTGCATCCAACTGCCTTCCGGTTTGCACTTGGAGACCTGACGTGCAGACCAAGGGCACGTGGAGCTGACAGGCGGGGTTGCCGCAGATGGCTGGGAGGAAATGCCATGCTCTTGGGGTCGCGTGCTCAGCAGAGTGGAGAGCGAGTCTCTACAGTGGGCCAAGCTTCACAGCGATTTCTGAGCCAAATCTTGAAAGGCTGATTGCTGTCTCGAGCTGGGTGTCTCTGGGGGGCTGAGCTGCAGCCACTGTGGAGGTGTCTTCTGGCACGTGCTTTGCAGTGAGTTGAGGGCCAAGCTGCTAACACGGTCTCAGGCCAGCCAGACCCACTGCAGTGAACAAAGGGAGCTGGGGGCGCATTGGTTCACCTCAGTCTCTGCACTAAAAGGCACAGGAATGGGATTTGAGGAGGAGGGAACTCGAGCAAGGGACTGACAGATGCCAGCAGCAAGGCTTCCCTCGGAGCCTCCCGCACCACCGTCCTCTCCCAAGAGGCAGCACACAGGGGTGTACTGAGAGGTGGGCTCTCATCCCTGCTCCAGTGTCTGCTGGCTGTAATCCTTGGGACAGGCCCGCGTGCTTCTCTAAGCTGCTGTTTCCTTGTGTGTGAGATGGGGTGCTAACACCCACCACTCCGTATGGATGCTGACCCCTGACATGAGAAAATGCAGGCATTCATCACTTAGTGCAACTTGGTAGGTGCTCAAGAGAGAGTATATGTTATGGCTTGGGGCACCAAATGGGGATTCGTCAGCGGTGGCATTCAGGTTTAGATTGGGAAGCCTTCAGGATATCACCCTCACTCTTCGGCCTCTTCCTTCCTTACTCCCTCCCTACCCCAGGAGTCTCAGCCGTGCCATCCAAGATCTTTCAAAAACCATCACCGTGGGCTGTCTGGTGTGTGTCCAGATGTTCTGCTGGGCTCCCTTCAGATATCTGGACAATCTTCTTCCAGGGAACTTTCCAGAGCCTGCCAATACAGCAGGATATTGTGAGGCTTGATATGATGGCAGGCCACGATCTTCTTGTAACGGCATATGGTGAAGGGTAACCCATTGGGGAAGAAAGTCTGCTTGGAGTGAAGCTCCTCCAGTTTGATTTGCAGTTTTTCCAGGCAGAGCCCCACAAAGACATCTTCCAGTTTAATGAACGGGACACTTTCAGCAACGTTGTACACCTGGCCCGCCACATCGCTGGAGAAAACATAGCCAACACCGGAGCAAAAGGGCGGGTACTTGTCCCACGGATACTCGAATTTACTAACAAACCACTTATTATACCTTTTCCTGATTGGGTATTCGTTTAGTTTTAAGAAGCCAGTGAAAAACCGAGTTGTTCTATTTTTCTTCAGGAGCAGTTCAGTCAGATAGTAGATGTTGACAAACATGTCAGAGTCTGTTTTCATCACGAAAGATGCCTGCGGACAAAAGCGGTAGATCCACTCCATACCCATCATGGTCTTTAGAGTCAGATTGAAATAAACATCCATGAAGTCCTTCTGGATAATATCGTGATATTGCTGGCTCTCCTGGGACACTGCCCTCGACATGTCCTTACTGGGGGTGGTTCCCAGGAGGAAGAATGTTTTTATTCGTTTTCCCCTCACGATCTTTTCTCTCCCCCACGTGCTCCGGATGACCGAGCGGGCAAACATCTGCTCGTGGGATGAAGTAACCAGCAGGACAAGGAAGGGGGGGTCCTGCCTGCAGTCTATATCTGGGAGCTGAAGGAAGCTCCCACCTTCGTTCTTGAAAACCAACGGTTCGCCTTTAAAAGGACTCAGACCATCCAGGCTAAAATACAGACAAAGGGCTCCCAGGACCACCAGGGAAATATAAATCCATCTCATCTTCACATAAGCCATCTGAAAGGAACAAAGTCAAATGGTTAGACCTCAAAAGCAGGAGTGCCTGTTTAGCTTTACCCTGGGCGGCTGAGATGGGGGACAAGACCCACGTTTCATGGCTCAGGTTTTAGAAGCTCTGGAATCTTGTTGCAGACAGAAGTGGAGAACCATGGTTCCACACAGAGGCAGAGACGGCTGCCAGCATCTCTCACCCCCTAGCGGAAGATCAGGCTCAGCCAGCCCTTCACCGATGGGAGCCTCACATTCCTTACCCAGAAGGATATGGAAACACATGGCTCACTAGGTCCGTCCTTCCGGTTCTGCCCTTCTCTGACTCCATAACGACATCCGGCTAGAGACCCTGCAAGGCTAGACCTAAATGTACAGGCCACTGGCATTCTTCTCTGATTGATTTAAGCACCACTTCATCACTCCCAGAAAGAAGCAAGACCAGCCTTCAGATGTGCACAAACAACTACCTTGGAATTCCGTCTCTGCTAGCAGTGGCCGTTTTTTGTTTTGTTTTGTTCTGTTTTTAGCTTACTGTTTAAATCTCCTGATTCTTTTATCTTTTGCTCGCCTCTCTTTTATTCTCCACAAATTCAGGATTATCCATGTCAGTGTTATAACATTAAGAAAGCAAATAACTCACTCTTTTCCTGGGTAAGATGAACCTCTGGGTTGAAAGCTAAGCCAAAGGGTAGATTCCAAGAGCTGTCAGCATGACATTCAGCACGATCAGGTTCTGGGCTTGGTTTGTTTGCCAAAAGAATGATTCTCTTCCTTGGGACGCCCTATAAGGGCAAACCAAAAAGAATAGTGTCATTAAAAGCACTCATGCCTCACTGGCAGCTCTTCACCTTTTGCTGTACTGAAGCAGTTGCTGTAGTGCCAATGTACCACCCACCTGCAAGACATTAATCCCCAGCCTCACTTTTCTCATCTGTAAAATGGGTCCAGTCAAGACAAATCCCAACACATGGTTCCCCTGTTGACAATAATAACAGCAAGCAAATATCCAACAATCTTTTTAGACTAATGGGTTAGGACAGCAGCCAGAAATTTTTAAGGAAACACGACGGACATGTAAGCCAGTGACAGTCACGTAACAGAGTCCATGGGTGATGCTTAAAGAACCTAACACAGGGAGGAAACCAACCCATCAATTCTCAACTCAGTGTCCACGTTTTCAGAATGTTATGCTGGATAAGAGGACATAGGGGTGGGCTTCCCTGGTGGCGCAGTGGTTAAGAGTCTGCCTGCCGATGCAGGGGACACGGGTTCGTGCCCCGGTCCGGGAAGATCCCACATGCCACGGAGCAGCTGGGCCCGTGAGCCATGGCCGCTGAGCCTGCGCGTCCGGAGCCTGTGCTCCGCAACGGGAGAGGCCACAACAGTGAGAGGCCCGTGTACCAAAAAAAAAAAAAAAAGAGGACATAGGAGTTAGCAAGAAAAGAAACCCACAGAGTGAAATGTAGAAAGGGTTGGTTATTTCGATAGCCAAAGAAGACTTCGAAATTTCATTAAGTAAAAATCTGTTCCAAGTACGTTCTTCATAAAAGAAATGGAACAATGATGGAGCTTTCCAGAACTAGCCCACTCTCTGGAGGCCAACTCGGTCCAGCTGCTGTTCTTTTGGGTCCCCCATGGAGCTCCTGACCAGCTGCAGCCCTCACTGACTTCACAGAAATCACCACAGGACACAAAAGGACTTTGAGAACGTGGCTGAGCCTGCAGGAGGCTGAGAAGTCTACAACCCTTTCTTTGTGAGGTTATTTACTTGCAGGGCTAGGATGTGTAGTCGATTTGGGGGCGGGGGCGGGGAAGGTGTAAGGGAAACGAAATTGCATTTTCTCCCGCAGTATACTCTAGAAAGGAACATGAAAACCAATGCAGGGGAAAAGACGCTATTTCTCGATTTTGCTTCCTTTCGCAGATAAGTTTGCTCTTCCTCTGTGGTTGCCTCAACAGCAAACCCTGGTTTTCATTCCACCTCCTGTGCCCTTTCCCGGGATCCTTCGCCTGAATCTCAGTCCCCAGGAAGGGACTCTCAGCTCACTCACAGCACCGGCGTTCAGACGGCAGAGCGAGCACCACGCTCCATGGCCCAGCTGGCCAACACTCCCTGGGGCCGTTTGTTTTCACATGCAATTGGAAGAAACTTCCTGCCTACAGTTCAGTGACCAAGAAACACACTCTGGGGACCTTCCTGGTGGCGCAGTGGTTAAGAATCCGCCTGCCAATGCAGGGGACACGGGTTTGAGCCCTGGTCTGGGAAGATCCCACGTGCCACAGAGCAACTAAGCTGGTGCACCACAACTACTGAGCCTGTGCTCCACAACTACTGAGCCTGCACTCTAGAGCCCGTGCTCCACAACAAGAGAAGCCACTGCAATAAGAAGCCTGCCCACCGCAACAAAGAGTAGCCCCCGCTCGCCACAACTAGAGAAAGCCCACACGCAATAATGAGGACCTAACGCAGCCAAAAATAAATAAATAAAATAAGTAAATTTATTTAAAAAAAAAAAAAAAAAAGGAAACACACTCTTCAGAAATTATACCTCACACTCCCATTTACATCTGCATCTCTGATCGAGCATATGGTGTGTCACCAGGACCAGGAATCCAACCTTCCATCGAAGGACCAGAGGCTACAGGGCCTGGAGACAAAGGCATTGGAAGTCCACACCCCAAGGCCTGGAAAGCCAAAGGGACAGTCTGGAAAGTTAAGTTCAAGTGGGCTGGTGGGGAGGACCTCCTGGATCTGAAGGGAAAGACCTGGAATGAACAGCAATGTTCCACTCTGAGGCCAGAGAGAGTGTCCGGGGCCAAAGCACACAACCAAGAGGCCCGTGGCCTCAAGGGAGAGAGAACTGGTGAGGTGCCCAGCCCATTGGATGGGCCAGGTGAAGGATGTGGTACTTGAGCTTGTTCTTGAAGGGCATGTGCAATGTGACAGGTGGCAGCAGAGGTGGGAGTTCCAGAGCCAGGGACTCACAGAGGGTGGTGGGCAGTTCAGAGGGCTGGGATCCACCTTCAGGACATCTGCTCCAGAGCTATCCTCACACATCTGAGAAGACTGCTGCCAACCCACGGGCCATCGGAGAGCAGAATGGCATTGCAGGGAATGCACAATGAATGGATGACATGCAGCCTGAGAAACCCAGAGGCTCTCAAACTCAGTAGGTGGAAGAATCTCCCAGGAGGCTGGTTTAAAATGCAAGTTCAAAGGTTCCATCCCTTAAAAAAGAATGAAATAATGCCATTTGCAGCAACATGGATGGACCTAGAGATTATCATACTAAGTGAAGTAAGTCAGAAAGAGAAAGGCAAATACCATATGGTATCACTTATATGTGGACTGTAAAATATGACACAAATGAACTTATCTACAAAACAGAAACAGACTCACAGACGTAGAGAACAGACTTGTGGTTGTCAAAGGGAAGGGGGTATAGAGGAAGGATGGATTGGGAGTTTGGGATTAGTAGATGCAAACTGTTATAAAATAAAGACTGGATAAACAACAAGGGCCTACTGTACAGCACAGGGAGCTAGATTCAATATCCTGTGATAAACCATATGGAAAAGAGGATGAAAAAGAACGTGTATGTGTATAAACTGAATCACTTTGCTGTACAGTAGAAATTAACACAACATTGTAAATCAACTATATTTCAAAAAAATAAATTATTTTACCAAAAGGTGCCATCCCACACAGACTCAGATAAGGCAGGTCTGGAGCCCAGGAATCTGTGTTTTCATATGTCCCAGGTGATTCTACTCTAGGCTGGTTCCTTTGAAAACACCAGTGGGCACCACTCGGATAAAGCAGTCTGGAATAAGCTTCCCTACAACTGCCCCAGACCTACGTTGGGCCGCAGCTCTCAGCTCCCACCTGGTGCCCAGCCCCTGCTCACTGGAGGAGACCTGGGTGTCAGCCTCCAAGGCAGTGGGAACAACGCAGCTCTTGCAGTGCAATGGCTGTGTGTCAACTTGCCTAGGCCATGAGGTGCCTAGACATTTGGTCAAACACTATGCTGGGTGTGTCTGTGAGGGTGTTTTTTGGATGAGATGAAAATTTGAATAAGGAGGCTGAATAAAGCAGATTGCCCTCCCTAATGCAGGTGGGCTGCACCCAATCAGTTGAAGGCCTGAAGAGAAGAAAAAGGCTGACCTTCCCCCAAGTGAGGGGAACTCCTCCTGCCTGACTGCTTGGACTGGTACTTCACGGTTTTCCCTGCTTTCAGACTCCAGCTAAACATCAGTTCTTCCTGAGGCTCGAGCTGTTAGACTAGAACCACACTCTTGGCCCTCCTGGGTGTCCAGCAGGCTGACTGCAGATCTTGGAGCTTCTCAGCCTCCATAACCATGTGACCCAGTTCCTTAAAATAAACCTCAACTTATCAAGCATCTCCTGTTGGTTCTGTTATGTGGTGAGTGCACCCCACCCCACCCCTGCATCTTGGGAACAGCCTATCAGTGATGCTTCCAGGGCAGCGTTTATGGTGGAGGGGGCAAAGAGATTTTTCTGGAAGCATAAGGGAGAGGAGTGAAAGATGAGGAAGACATCAGGAGTACACACCCCATCACAGGTTTCTCACAGGAGAATGAGTAAATGGAGGGGAGTGAGGCACAGAACAATCATGTCCTGCAATTCTGTTTGCACCCAGATGACTCCCCCAGGCTGTCTGGCAGCCTGGGCAACTAGATATCTTATACAAAAGCTGAGGGTGTCTATCTAATCTTTTAACAAAGTTCAGCAGTTTCCTTTACTATACGCATAAGCTGATGTGCAGTTAACTATGTAAGAAAACTGGCATTACAATAGAAAAATAGGTTAATGGAGCAGAAGAGAGAGCCCAGAAAGAAACCCACACATATGATAAATGCAACACAATTTAGTGGGGAAAGAGTGATCTTTCAATCAAGAGTCCTGGGTCCAGGCTTCCCTGGTGGTGCAGTGGTTGAGAGTCCGCCTGCCGATGCGGGGGATATGGGTTTGTGCCCCGGTCCAAGAAGAT